ATCTCCAAAAGAAAAAATATTTAGTGAGAAGAACAGCATTGCTTTTACATTTCCAAAAATCTCTTTAATGTCTGGCTTAATAAAGGATAACTGGATTTTCTTCCATGGTTTCTGCATTCAGTATCTTATGATATGTTGCTTTAGTTGAAGTACATAAATGCCAGCTTCACACAGATATGTCATTGGAAAAAGAAAGTATTTTTTTTCTTTAATACACCAAAACACAACAAGTAGTGGTTTCTTAAAGGTTGGTTGTATTATAGAATCTGAAACCATATCAATGAGCATTTTATTCATGTTAAAATTTATTAATCCATCATACTTTGAATGGATATCATGTATTGTTCATTTGAAAAATACTGGTTCACTGAGTTATATTGGTCTCCCAAATGTCATCATACAATATTTTAAAATCATATTAGTTAATCTCATTATAACCAATATAATCAGAAAAGTCTTGAAGTATTGTCAAGTTCAAAGGTGGATATAAGTTCTCTAATATTCTAATTTTCACTTGAAAGCTTGAATATTATCATTGGCAACAATATTTGTTTTCTTAAATGACAGGCTTATTTCATTCATTTTCAAGGAAATGTTTTCTAAATACCTAGATCTGAATAACCTTAGTTTATCTATTGGTCATTCTGTCAGGTAAAATTCGTGTTCAATGAAAAAAGTGATTTAGTTCAGCACACAACTCAGTCAACCAAGTACATTTCCTTGAGACAGCCATATATGTACTTTGGTGTGCAGCAAAAGTGCTTTCTGTGTACTTCCCATTTTATCACAGAATACTTTTTAACAATGTACTCAATAGTTGAGATTAATAAAATTAATCATTTGTATTGTTTCATCAAGGACATTCTTAAGTGAAACTAGCTTTCTTTTTTTTCTTTTTTAGCTAAAAGGACACAGCAAGGAATAATATAATAACTAGTACAGTTTGGTGCCACTGCCTTGATTTGTGCTCAGGTGCCATTAGTTTTACCTACCATTGCTTTGTACCATCGTTGCAAATATCAAGACCGTAACAAAGGCAAATAATGTCTTAATATTATTTCAAAACTATGAAAATAGTTTTGAGAGTATCTCAGGGACCCTCAGGGGTTTGTGGACCATCCTCTGTTGTAACTGAGTAACATCACGTAAGGTATTTAGAGTAAGAAAAGAACGTGCATAGAACCCCGAGGAAACACCTTGTTTTAGGAAGAGGCAAAGGAAAAAGAAACCCAAAAGGAGATGAGGTATGACAGCCATATGGTATTTGATCATAGTTAGCATTTAATAAATACTTAACTTTTTCCCAGGCACTGTTCTAAGTGCTAAACATAGTAACTTTATGAGGTAGGTAGATACTATTGTTATCTTCATTTTACAGATGGATGAAAAACCTGAAGCACAGAGAAAGTTTAAGTCACCTTGTCCAAGGTGACTCAACTAACAGTGCATACCAAGCAGTCTAGCTCAGAGAGAGAGAAAAAAAAAAAACAACTGGGAGGAGTATGGCAGTAAGGAAGCTAAAAAAATAGCATTTCAAGTGGGAGGACATGGTCAATAATATAAAATGGTGCTGAGTGGTCAAGTAAGATACAGGACTGAAAAACATCTATTTGATTTCACAATAAGAAGATCATTGACAACTCTGGCAGGAGCAGCTTCAGAGGAGTATAGGGACAGAAGCCAGATGAGAGAGGGAGGAGGGTTGAAGAGTGAGTGGGAGTTAGAAGGGAAGTCAGGAGGAGCGAACTTCTTGAAGAACTTTAGTTGTGAGGTAAGTGAAAGCCAGAGGGTATGAGGGACAGGGAAAGCCTTTTTAAGATGGGAAAACTTCAGCATATTTAAGGTCCGATGAGAAGCAGCAAGTAGAGAGTGAGGCTGAAGATAATAGGGGGAAAAAGAGGAATAAATAGAATGAAATTTCTGATCAGTAAGAGAATGTATTTAAAGCACAGGAATCTTAGTTTTAGATAGAGTGGTTCTGATGCAGGAAGTTGAAGGTATTCCCTTCTCAGCCCAGATTCTTGAGAGTCTTGGCTATTTTCACTTCTTTCTTGCTCTGCCTCATATCTCTCACTGCTGTAACTCATTCCTTTCTTATAGAGCCTCCATTTTACTTACAGGAATTTCTTTGGTAAAGATTACCAAAGATCTCCAAAGTGCCAAATCCAGTGGATACTGGAATTCTACCTCATTTGATAGGACTCCACCTCTCACCTTCCTGTCCCCTCAGTTCACCTTTTATGCTGCTTGTTAACTAGGATTCTGACCTTGGTTCGCTTCAGTTTCTATTCCTTATGTAGTCACATCCATCCCCCACAACTTTAGCTACCACCTATATTCTTATTCTCTCACTCTTTTTCTCTCTTTTTCTTTCTCAGATCTGTGCGTGTGTGTATCTCAAGTCCCTTTTCCAAGTCAGCACACACACAGTTCATCAATCACTCCCAAATTTGCTTTTCTCTTAGTCTAGTTGGTTGAGGCACCATGATCAACTTAGTATCCCAAGCCAGAAACGTGGAAGGTGTGCCTGACTCTTCCTTTTCTTTTGCCCCTTACATCTATTCAGTCACCAGGTCCTCTCAGTTTTACGTTCTCAGCGTATCTTGAATCCATCCTTTCTATTCCTATAGCCTTACTTCAATGCTTTGTCACTTATAGCATGAATTTTTTACAATAGCCTTGAACTGATGACAGTTCTTTATTTTTTTTTTAATAACTTTTATTTATTTGTTTATTTTTTAAAAAAATATATCTTTATTGATTTCAGAGAGAGGAAAGGAGAGGGAGAGAGAGAGATAGAAACATCAATGATGAGAGAGTCATTGATAGAGCCCACAACCTGGGCATATTCTCTGACCGGGAATTGAACCCCGATCGCCTGGATCCCAGGTCGATGCTCAACCACTGAGCCACGCCCGGCCGGGCGACAGTTCTTTATTAATATACAGATCCAGTCATCTCTTCTCTGCCCCTGGTCTAAAGCCTTTCAATGACTATCAAACTATAGGATAAAATTCAAGCTAAGCGTAACATATAAAAGCAACTGTGATCTGGCCCCTAACTACTTGTACAGTTTTTTTCACCTGTCACTGTTACCACTGCAACCGCACCTCTAGTACATTGCATAGTTCTCTAAATAGTCTTTGTTTCTTATATCTTTGTTTTAGTATGTGCTGTTCCCTTTGCCTGAGTGTCCTTTTTACTCTCTCCTCTTTCCACCCTGCAGAAGCCACTCCAGTTTTTAATGTGATTGATTTATTAATAATTCAGCTGTTAAGGGAAAGAACTTTCTGAACCTGTTTTCTCAGGGACTGTGCATTTGCCTCTTAGGGGTACATGTGTTTCAGGGGAGGATTTTCAAATGCTGCTTACGTACTTAGGGAATTTAGTTACTCAGTGTTCTTCACCAATGATGCACCATCCTCAGTCTGTATAAGACCTTTCTCTTTTTATTGTATTTTCCCTTCATCCCATTCCCTATTTCAGTTTCTTTGATGTTATTTTTCTTTTTATATGTTAATTTTGACACTTTATATTTTTACAGAAATTAATCTCAGTCATTATGCTTCCCAACTCAACTATGTTGCTGCACATATAGAAAATAAAATGTGTGCTGCACAGTAGGGTATATGAGGCCAAGGCTACAGGCTAAGGGTTTCTAGCTTCCACAGGCCCAGTGGACCACCTTGAGAACTAAGAGCAGCATCTCAGCATAAGTATAGCCCATCTGTGTTACTTGCCATGATACACCAGTTGAGAAGCTTGATCTAGACTTTCTAATATACTTGTGTATAGTTCATATCCATCAATGATGTTGCAGTGAGTCAAAGACAGCAATGTTGGTATAGCTTCTGTCTTTGGTATGAACAAGCAAAGTAGTAAGTAATTTTATCTTAATTAACCCAGGCTTAGGTCAACTGCTGCCATGTATCTGGAGGGCAGGGAAGAGGCAAATTGAAATGATCTCTACAAAGCAGGACAGATATATTACAATCAGGTTGGGTCATTAGACTCATGTTCCTGGAATGGCAGATGGAAAGGAGTACCTTCCATTATAGATCACTAAATGCCTACTTATTCAAACTTGAAGGCAAAGGGAAGTCTAGTCTTACAAATTATTTTAAAACTTGGGCAACAAATTGATCCCGGAGAGGACAGAAAATTACAAGAGGCCTTGGCCAGGTCCAATGAATGCATAAATAAGTGGAACAACAAATCGATGTTTCTCTCTCTCTCTGTCTTTCCCTCCCTCCCCCTTCCTCTCTCTCCAAAATCAATAAATAAATAAAAAGAAAAAAAATCACAAGAGAAGTTTGATACCTCAGTGTCATCCAACACAGCAGTTTGTTTGCAAACTATTTTGTTAGGAATCCTTTATACTCTTAAAAATTATCAAGGACCTCAGAGTGTTTTTGTTCATATGAATAATATCTATTAATATGTACTGTTTTAGAAATTAAAATGGAAAATAATTTAATATATTATTAATTTATTTACAAATAACAGTAAATTGATCATACCGGTAATATAACACTTTATGGAAAATATTTTCCAAAACAAAAAAACTGTGAGAAGAATAGCATTATTTTACATTTTTACAAGTCTCTTTAGTATCTGGCAGCTGTATTCTTATACCAGCTTCTGCATTCAGTCTGTTGCAGTTTGTCATATAACATGTGGACGATTCCACTTTTTACTCATGAGAGAATGAGAGAGAAAGTAACTATTATGAAATTATAGAATTATTATGAGAATAGTTTTAACCTTGCAGACCTCCTGAAAGGGTATCTGAGACCCCTGGGAATCTCCAGAGCACATTTAGAGATGTGCCAATCTAGAAGAAAGAATGAATGCCAGCTCTTTATCTGGAGTTTGACTAACCTATGTGCCCATTTTATAAATTATACTAAATACCATGTAGATGATATAGAATGAATACGTGATTAAGTCTGAACTTCTTTAAAGTTCTAACTTAAAATAATTTCATTTTCTTCATTCAGATATTTCATTAAATATACAAATCTGTTTATTTAATTTATTTTCCAACCATAAGTCCTTATTTTTGGTTTTGGGCTTTGTGCTATAGCACAAAATAGATGCCCAATAAATATTTGTCAAATAAATAAATTTTCTTAGGATCTGTACAGCTGTAACTGACTGGATGCCAATAGCTATATGTCTCTCATTGAACTCTGTGAAGTAATGAGGGCAGGATGTGAGCTAATGACAACTGTAGGATATCAAGTCCACTGCAAGGTCCAGATAATTAAAAAAATTATCTTGGCTTTACCCAGGTGAGCAGGTACAAACCTGTCCCTGTTGTATGAAAGAGTATTTTTGCCAGAGGTGCCATCAGGGTACCCAGACTGACCTATCAGTTCCTAGTAAAATAATAACAGCCACCTTTTGTTGAATGTTTACTAAGTGTCAGGTACTGTGCTAGGCATATTTCATCTTTAAAATGAACTTTCATGAAGTCTCTTAGCCCTTACAATCTGCCTAACTCCAGGGCCTTTCATCACCTGACTGCTTCTGCATTGAGGAAGCAACCTACATCAAGGGGTAAGAGTAGGAATTGTAAAGGCTGTTTTTTGTTTTTGCATCTACCTCTTCATCCCATTAATGTAGACGAGAGGAGATGGAAGAGACAGACATAGATGACTCAGTGCTTTTATCACTGATATGGCACCAACTCAAAAGCAAGGAGTGACTACCTTAATTACTCTTTTGGATGCTGATCAATGCTGGGTCCAAACTGAGCTCATAGGGCAAGAGTGGGATTCACTGGACCTCTCACTGTCATTTACTAGAAACTACTGAGCACAGAAACTTGGTAAACACAAAAACAGTATTTTTTGTGTATTCTGTGTTCACAATAAGTTTAAACATGAGTGGGATTTTAAAACATTTGTACATGGCCGGGAATGGCTCAGCGGTTGAGCATCGACCTAGGATCCAGGAGATCCGGGTTCAATTCCTGGTCAGGGCACATGCCCGGGTTGCGGGCTGCAGCCGATCAATGACTCTCTCATCATTGATGTTTCTGTCTGTCTCTCCCTCTCCTTTCCTCTCTCTGAAATCAATAAAGATATATTAAAAAAAAAAACAAAAAACAAAACAAAAAAAACATTTGTACACAGCCCAGCCGGTGTGGCTAAGTGGTTGAGCATTGACCTATGTTCCAGGAGACTGCGGTTTGATTCCCGGTCAGGGCACATGCCTGGGTTGCGGGCTTGTTCCTCAGTTGGGGGCGTGCAGGAGGCAGCCAATCAATGACTTTCATCATTGATATTTCAGTCTCTCACTCTCCCTCTCCCTCTCTCTGCAATCAATAAAGACATATTTTTTAAAATAAAATATTTGTACAGAGAATAATATACCAGGAAATATAAATTAAAGTATCTGATAGCATTGGCCTTTGAATGAAACTTTTGTGCCACCTGTGTAGAAGAGACAAGAGAATGGGTTACAGCTATGGCTAACTTTGTACTCTGAATAAATGTTTCTCCATGGCTCAGGAACTTTGGTGATAAGGGAGAAAGTTTTTATAGAAGATAAACAAAGTTTCGTATTCTCAGTTCCTCCCTTAGAGATAAATTCTGGATTCAAATGCAGACCAAAAAAATAGGTCAAGAGCACTCCATCTTAGGCTGCCCAGTCATAATTTTATTGTGGGACTCCCTAAGATGCTAAGAGACCTAAAAGTGGTTTTGATTTATCCTCAAAATGACTACATAGAGCTTTTCCTAGAGCTTAATGATGCTCACAAAAATGTATGGTTGTGGAGAAGCAGGAGATCTTTCTTGAAGATCTAGTTCCAAGCACTAGTTCCTCAATTCTCAAAGATCTAAAAGTTAGGAATTAATTACAATCAGTGATAACACTATGTAATCGTAGATATAGAACAAAAATCTTAGAAATCACCTCATATAACCATTCTTTAAGATGATAAAACCAAGACTCAAGAATTAAGTGACTTGGCCAAACCTATATGACTTATTAGTGGTATGACAGGGTTTGAATACTAATAGGTAATTTCTTTCTCACCTTTCTTAGTTTCCTTATTTCTTTTTTTTAAGTATTTCCATAATCTTTTTATTAGGCAGGAAGGTGACCATGACCCAGGATATTTGTAATTAGGAAGAGCTCAGCCTCAGTTTTACTTTTCCCTCCAATTAAGATCTTCTTGATCTTTTGATGTAAGGAAAACTACCATTTATTAAACACCTTTGTTCCAGGGTCATCATATACGTTATTCTCATTGAATACTTACAAGATTCTTCTAACATTTTAATGGTCACCTGATTCATCTGGGGATCTTGTTAATGCAGATTCTGATTTTGCAGGTCTGGGATGGGGTTCAAGATTCAGCATTTCTAAAAAGCTCCCAGGAAAAGCCAGTAATGCTGTTGGTCTGTGGACCTTATGTTGAACAGCAAAGATGTTGGTTGATATTATCTTCATCTTCTAGATGAAAAACAGGCTTACAGAGATTAAATAAACTGTCCAAGTTCATACAGGCAGTAAGTGGTAGACTAGTGATTTGACCTAGGTCTTTCTGACTTTAAAGCTCTAGATGTGATACGGGAAGCCAGGGAAAAGTGGAAAGACAGCTTATTGTCCAGTATTTCTTAAACAGGCTACTTCTCAAGTAAGTCAATGGCAGAATCCAGGATGAAATAAAAAAGTCCTGGCTCCCAGTCAACTGTTTCACCTTTTTCCTCCCCATCAGTCCCCTAATCAGGATCTTTCCTTCATGCTTAGAAAATCATATTTAGAATTGGCTTTTGGGCTTTCTCCATTACAGGTTTATTGCCAAACCCTGTGCACTCCATGTTGGGATCCAGGACAGTTGTCCTTATCAGCCCCAACCCAATGCCATCCTTGAAAAGGTGTTCATATCTATTACCAAGGTAAGTGGGCAAAAAAACAGAGAAGGCCTAGCCAGTTTGGCTCAGTGGTTAGAGCGTGGACCCTCAGACTGAAGGGTCCCGGCTTCGATTCCAGCCAAGGGCATGTACCTTGGTTGCAGGCTCAATCCCTGGCCCCAGTTGGGCACATGTGGGAGTTAACCGACCAATGTGTCTCTCTCACATTGATGTTTCTCTCCCCTCCCCCTTCTACTCTGAAGAGCAATGGAAAATATATCCTCGGGTGAGGTTTTAAAAAAAAAGAGAAGATTCATATGAGGGGTTGCCCCGTAAGGCAAGGGAAGATAGAGAACAAGTATCCCCAAGGGTAAGGATAGGATGGGATGATCTTTCCCATTTGGGTAGCCCATATAGCTATGAGGAGAACGTTATCGCCTCAGAGAAATGCCTTTGGGCCAGGATCTAAGTCAAGTTTACATACATTTAAGTTAGGCCTAGCAGTCACCACCACCTCTTGTCCTCCAAACACATCATATCTTTATTTTGTTTTTCCCTGCTCCAGCTTTTGTCAGTACCTAGTTACATAATTAAGATGGGGCCCAGCCAGGTGTGGCTCAGCGGTTGAGCATCGACCTGGGCTCCAGGAGATCAGGGTTCGATTCCCAGTCAGGGTACATGCCCGGGTTGAGGGCTTGATCCCCAGCGGGGGGCGTTCAGGAGGCAGCCGATCAATGACTGTGTCATCATTGATGTTTCTATCTCTCTCTCTCCCTTTCCCTTCCTCTCTCTAAAATCAGTAAAGATATATATATTTTTAAAAAGATGGGGACTGATAGCCTTTGCAGTTTGGGTTTTTAATATCTTTTTTTACTCAGTTGGGCTGGAGGGAGAAGACCAAATAAGGATATGTATAGGTGAGTGGTAAAGGTCCTTGCTGTGTGAAATAGTACTTCTTACTAAAAATGACTTTTGAGATGAAACCTGGAAAGATAAACATTACTTAAGCCACTGTAGTTATCACCCCTTTGCCACTCAACTAGTCAAGGGATTTAGTGAGAGGTTTGAAGAAAAAGGGATGTTCTTACTCTGGTCATATATCTACAGTATCCTGATGAAAAAAGGCTGGAGGGCCTGTCAAAGCAACTGGACTGGGATGTCCGAAAAATCCAGTGCTGGTTTCGACATCGGAGGAATCAGGACAAGCCCCCAACGCTCACTAAATTCTGTGAAAGCATGTAGGTGTGCAGAGGAAGGCGGGGAGTGCGGAGAAGGGTGGGATATGACTGGACTGAGGTTTTCTTTTTGGAAATCACTGCTATTGTTAGGACAAGGGTCGATGAATGTGAAGGGCTAACTCTATTATAGACAGGAAAGAAGAGCACTGGAAGACTGGTCACCCTTAGTTTCTTGGACATGCTGCCACTCAGCTAGATACAGTTCCATTTTGTTCCCCTTTCCCAAATAGATTGGGAGTGAATTCCTGTAACTGTACTTAGGTAGGTAGACATGCACACCCTTACACACCTTGATAGCAATCGTGCCAGCTTGCTCTAAATGGACATTTTGGTGGGCAGCATCCCTTTTCTGGACATACTTTTTACTAATTCCCCTCTGGACACAGAGCATTGTATTTAACATTGTGCAAAGAAAATCTTAGGCACTATCATCAGCAAGTCTGATATGGAAGAAAAGTTGATTAAAGCCAGTATACACTTGTGGAAATCTATTTTAAAGAGAGGCTGGAAGATGTCTCTTTTTGGCTTTTGAGATAACAGTATTTGTCCCTATTCTGGGGACTTATCACCTTTCTCACCAGTAACTATCTTACCCCCAAACCTGCTGTCTTCTTTAGCCTCAAAGACTTTCTTTTCAGTGAATATTCATCTAACCTCTATTCTTTGCCCACCCAGGTGGAGATTCACTTTTTATTTATGTATATTCTGCTACGGAATTAGATTTCTTTGGTCGGTGAGTGTGAACTTCCTCTGGTCTTCTGTTGGGTTCTAATCATACCCACATCTCTAGAGATGAGTTAAATACCTTTAGATCTTTATTTTTCCTCTTTTTTTCTTCTGTGATGCCTATAGCCCAGATTTATATGCTAAGTGGTTGCCTTCTGCCTGGGGCCTGACTTCAGTAACCTCATAACTCTACTTTCTTTCCCCTAAATAATGCTAATAATAATTGGTATTGATTAAGTCAGCACAATACGCAGTGGTTTACAAAGCACTTGGCAAAAATCTTATTCTTCCAAGGAGGAGACAGTTACAGAAATGGAGTCAATAACCCTTCAAAGTGGGTAAAACAGGTATAATTCCTGCTTTTCAGGTAATTGTCAGAGTCAAAGAATTTCAGGCTTTTTGATTCCTGATTCCATGGTGGGTTTTTTTTCACAGCACCACCCTATTTTTCTAAATGATACAATTGCGGTTTCAAGACATATGAAGCAAAAAGAGGCAGAACATGGAGATGGACAAATACACAACCATACTTGAAGATTTTAATACTCTCTTATCAGTAATTGACTAAGTCACTAAATAAAAAATATCACTAAGGATATAGTTTTGAACAACACAATCAACCAATTTGACATAATTGACACTTGTAGAAGAACACTACACCAACAGCTGAAGAACATATATAATTTTCAAGTGCACATGGAACATCAACTAAGACCATATGATTGGCCATAAAATAAATCTCTGCCTCCTGGTGCTTACCACAAGCTGTGTTCTTACACTGACAGTATAGAAAGAGGAGGCAGAGGAAACCCACCCCATATATACCCCAGCCTGGGCCCTTTGCTTGGTCTGTATTGTGAATGGGAGAACATGGAGAATGAATGAATGAATGAATGAATGAATGAATGAATGAATGAATGAATGAATATAAATCAATCAATCAATCAATCAATCAATCTTGGTAAATTTTAAAATGTTGAAATCTTACAAAATGTGTTCTCTGATCATAATGGAATTAAATTAGAAATCAATAATAATAATGAGATATCCAGAAAATACTTGGAAGTTAATTCTGCTATATAATCCATGGATCAAACAAGAAATCAGAAGGGAAACTTTAAAATATTTTTCATTGAGTGACGCTGAAAGTACATCAACATGCCAAAATTTGTGGGATGCAACTAAAGTATGCTTAGAGGGAAATTTACAACTTTAAATGTTTATGTTAGAAAAAAATAGAGCTTTAAAATCAGTGACCTAAGTTTCCACTCTAAGATCTGGAAAAAGAAGAGCAAAGTAAACCCAAAATAAGTTAAAAAGAAATAATACAAAATAAGTAAAGATAAATGAAATAGGCATTAGACAAACAATGGAGGAAACTAATAAAGCCAAAAGTTGGTTCTTTGAAACATTTGATTAAAATTTATAAACCTCTAGAAAAAAGAGAAAACAAATTATCTATATCAGAGAGAAAAAGGGATTATCACTACCAATCCTGTAAACATTGAAAGGATAATAAGACAACTTTATAAACAATTTAATAGTAATAAATTCAACAACTTAGATGAAATGGACAGATTCCTTAAAGGACATAATTGAAACTCCATTAGAAGTTATTACTTTTGACTTTTGAATCTTTGACATGGAGATCTTTCTCTTGGTTTTCAAATGGAATCATTGTCTTCCTGCCTTCCTATCTCTTATATCCCAGGTGGTGATACTTTCAAAAACTATCCTAGAGCTCTCCCTGCTCTTATTTACCTCAAAGCATGATTTTTCTATTTGTAATAACACTTTAATCCTGTAAGATAAATCTAGGTATTTATTAACCCTTTAAGGATCCCTAAATTCTGCCAAGAGGGATTAACACCCACCCCCCCTTTCACCCTATAGCATAGAGAGAACAGGATTATATAGGTGAGCCGTGGGAGAATCCTGAAGACTGACCTGTATTATCTGTTTTCTCTTAGTCACCTTGGTTTTGGGACACCCGACAGTGCTGGCATAGCTATCCACATCAGGTAGGATCTGAGCACTTATGTATGTGTGTAAAGTGGAGCGGGGGACAGTGCAGTCCCAGGGCAGATGGCATATTTCCTTGGGATTCTTAAGGGATTAGGGTCTAAGTCTCTTTGACCCAAATAGTCAGGGTATCTATTTCTGGGGCCCCCATAGCTGTGAAATCCAGTGATCTTTTTTTCCAGTTCCCCATTATATTCACCCTAATTGGGCTGGAAACAAAAGCAGCCTCCTGGCTCTTAATGAGGTGCTTTCTGGTTCAGGTATCCCTTTTGAATCAAGGGTAAGTTAGAGTCCCCTTAATCTATACTAGAAAAATGTCAAGGGGCTGCTAACGGGGTGGAAGAAGGGAAGGCCTGAGTGTATTTAATCCCCTAAAAAGCATTAATTGCCCAGAATTTTAGATACACTAATTTGATTTGCTGGAGTATGAATTAACTTGATCTGATCTCTAAAAGATGAGAACTGAAGATATGTATGTGAAAGGGCAGAGGGAGAGGTTTAAGTCTCCATACCAACCCAAAGCCTATTAGCTACTGCAGCTCTTGGACGATGATGGGGGAACAGATGTCTAATACTTTTGGGTATTGGTCCTCCAAGGCAGAGATAGTTGCAGAGATAGAATGAATCTTTGACTAGCTGGTATTCTAACTACCGCTTTCTCTCTTTCAGCCTCTCACAAGTGGGCTTTATTACTATTATATCATGGAATTGGCCTTTTATTGGTCTCTAATGTTTTCTCAGTTTACAGATATTAAAAGAAAGGTAAGGACACTGGCTCCCTTGATTCCCTAACTTACTGCACCCTCCTTCCTAGCAGCTACCATGACTGCCATTGTGTGTCCTGTCTGGGACCACAGAAGAGGGAGAAAGTAGGCTTGATGGGACTCTGAGCTCTGTACTATTCTCAGAAATGAGACTTGACTACTGAAGAAGTATATTTGAGGCATTCGGGGTAGCCAAGATGAGAACAGTTAACCAACTAGATACCCTTTTCCTTTTCTCCAAGGCTCTTACATATATAAAGCTCAGGAAACTAGTCAGAACTTAGGGATAGCAAGGCATGATCCAAGACAGGCCTGAATCCATAAAGGCTAAATCTGGCTTTTGCTTGGCATTAGGGACCCTTGTTCTCTCTCTGCTTTCCCTTCTTGGTGACCCCACTTAAAGAATTTCAACTGGGAGGGGTTTTAGATGATTTTTGTTTACCCTTTTCTTGCTATCACTTAGGAAACAAAGATTCAGAAAAGTGAGTTGACCTGTCCACATAGTGACAAAGTTGGAAATGACTTAAGTTTTTTATAAGCAGACAGAATCTTTACCTCTTATTGTTGTCCACCTGACATAATATAATTCTAGCAGCTCTAACCCTTACTATCTTAAGGTTATCTTTGGTGAAAAAACCAAAGTTAGCATTTATGGGAATGGACTGAAACTGATCTGGGTTGTTAGTTGTTGCATAACCTACAAACTTGATATTCAATTCAGGTGCCTTTCACTCTCCCATGGTCAAGAGACAGGTCCCCTTATTAAAATTTTATTTTAATACATGACACAAATATAAAAGGGTTGTAATATATATGTAGGTTTGAAAACATACTAGAATGTATACTTCTGAACCCATCTTCAACTACAGAACTAGAATATATCACTGTATCTTGTGTGGAGAACATAACTTTTCATCCTTGTTTCTCTGACCCAGATTATCCTGCCGTCTCCCACCCTCTGTCCCTCACTGGGCTGAGAAGTATTTATTAGCTAAGTCTAATAACTCAGGTATTTAAGAGATTTCTTCAGGTCTAACTTTGGCATTGGAATCCAAGAATAAATTAGAGCTTTAAATCTGCTTTAAGCTATATTAACATAGATTATGGGTCAGTTACTGATGCAGAGAGTTTGGGTCAAATGCTAAGCAACTTCCTAGTGGAGAGTTTAAACCAGATGGAACTTCTAAGGGTGGGATAAGATCCTCAGAGGACAATGAAGGGCATTGAGTTGGCTAGCATCTCTATGGCTTTGCCTATACCTGTTGCTTCTATTTCCATCCCTTCATAGGACTTCCTAATCATGTTTGTGCATCACTTGGCCACCATTGGGCTCATCACCTTTTCGTATATCAACAACATGGTTCGGGTAGGAACTCTGGTCATGTGTCTACATGATGCTTCAGACTTCTTGCTGGAGGTAAGACCCCAACCCTTCTTTCCTCATTATTTCTCTCTTTCTCTCCTTTTGTTCCTGAGAACCGGCTTTCTCCTCAACTCAATTCTTCCTTTCTCCAGGCAGCCAAGTTGGCCAATTATGCCAAGTATCAGCGTCTCTGTGACATCCTTTTTGTGTTCTTCAGTGCTGTTTTTATGGTCACTCGTCTAGGAATCTATCCATTCTGGTAAGTGTTAGAGCTGTGGAGCTGTGGTGGGTATGTAGCTAGTGATACCTTTTGTCAGTTTAGGGAGAAGACCACCAAGAACCTGATTGGCCTGCTTTTCCTTGACCTAGCCTGACCTTATGGTTTCTCCAGGACCTCAGTTCCCTTTCATAGTATTTCTAGTGTGGCGTGATCCAGACTCAGAGCACCCAACTCATTTGGCTGTGGCTTCCTGACTCATCTCTGAGAACACTACTCATTTTATGCCTAACTAATTCCTTTGTTTTCTTTTGTGCTGATTACAATATTCTCAGGCCTTTCTTGCTTTTTTCCTTGCTCTATACCCTCTCCCCCACCGTGACCAACACACACACACACACACACACACACACACACACACACACACACCTCTCACTTCTACACTCACTACTTTATGGTACAAAGTGAGTGACTCTGAGGAAATCAGCTACCTGCTATTCTATATGTGCCTGAAGATCTGAGTAAATCCTAGGATCATGATTAAAACAGCTGTACCAATTTCTGCGTATTTGAAATGATTAATAATGGCTTACTCCATCATTCCTAAGATTTGTACAGTAGAACCTCAGTTCTTGAACTTAATTCATTCTGGAAGGCTGTTCAAGAAGCAATTTATTTCAAAAACAAATCATTTTTTCCCATTAGAAATAATATAGATTGAGTTAATCCACTCCAGACCCCAAATTATTCCATTTAACCTTTTTGTATATAGTACATATCTAATATACTGTTTAATCTATAAATACTTTTAAAACAAAAAGGACATGAAATGTAAATGAAAATTTAACAAAAGGGAAATCAAATGTACTACAGTAAAAAATGAAAATGTATATACACCCTGGAACTTACCTTTAATGCTGAGAGCTATCGGTGACTAAATATGGAGAGGAGGGGTGGAGGGATGTTTGGAAGGGGAGCCCCCTCCATAAAAACATCAGGTTGCTGATCTCCTGGGCTCTTTCTCTCTTTTGTCTCCCTGCTACACTAAAACTTGCTTCAGGCTCACTGGGCCTCTGTCTCACTAGAAACCTATCTAGTGATGTTTGTTTTCGCCTGTTTTAACACTTGCCTGAAAGTTAAACACTGCACTGTCATTGAACAGGTTTATCGCACAATTTGCTACTTCTTGGTCAGTGTGATATTTCTCAATAAAACTTTGCATTTATCCCCATTTCCCAAGCATTTTCTTGATTAGTAAGTAGGAGTATCCTCTCTTCCCTCCTCCTTGGAAGAGAGCTTCTCAGCTGCTGTCTGTTGCTGCTCCCTTTGAAGGTGTGGAGTCCCCGGTGGTCAGCTCAGTGCTGTGGTCCTCCACCAACTCCTCACGTCATCCTCCTCCCCCTTCCAGCCCATGGACTTGCCCAGAGACACAGTATCCTCCACAGTAGACACAGGCTCATCCTCAACGCCCCCAAAGTCTCTTTCAGCAACAGAGTCAGGCCAGTTTTTCCAGGCTGGTTGCATGGTTCTAGAAGACACCTCCCATCATGCTTTGTCCTTGAGCCTCAAGGAAGTGAGGATATTAAAATGTTCCTTCCAGAGCTCCCTGAGAGTTAAATTAGTTTCAGAGGGCACCTCAAAACACCTCTGAAACAGTGCCTTTGTGTAGTTTCTTAAAATTAGAAATGACCTGCTGGTTCATGGGCTAGATGAGAGGAGTTGTGTTGGGTGGCAGGTACCTAACAGTGACGAAGCTGTGCTCCACCAACTCGGCCTCCAAGCCCGGAGGGTGGGCAGCAGCACTGTCCATTACAAGGAGTGCCCTGGGGGCAGTTGTTTTTCCCAGAGGTATTTCTTCACACTTGGGGCAAACACTTCATGAATCCACTCAATAAAAAATTGCCTGGTGCCCTAGCCTGTTTTGCTCAGTGATTAGAGCATCGGCCCGCTGACTGAACTGTCCCAGGGTTTGATTCTGGCCAGGGGCTCAATTCTGGCCAATTGGTTGCAGGCTCAATCCCCAGCCCCAGTCATTGCATGAACTTGGGGCAACCAATCGATGTGTCTCTCTCACATTGATGTTCCTCTCTCTCTCCCTTCCACTCTCTCTGAAAAGCAATGGAAAAAATATCTTCAGATGAGAATTAAAAATAAATAAATAAATAATTGCCTGGTTACCCAAGCTTTGCTATTAGCCCTCCACATCACATTCAGCTTGTTTTTCATGACATTATTTTTCTTGAAAACTTGAGGGTTTTCAGAATAGTAGACAAGTGGACACTTTAAAATCCCCACTCACACTCTGGCCGGTGTGGCTCAGTTGATTGAGCATTGTCCCATACACCAAAAGGTTGCCAGTTTGATTCCTGGTCAGGGCACATACCCAGGTTTCCGGTTCGACCCTGGTTAGGGTGTGTGCAGGAGGCAACTGATTGCTGTCTCTCATATTGATGTTTCTCTCCCTTTCCCTTCCTCTCTCTCTAAAATATGAATAAAAATATTTTAAAAATAAAGTCCCCAATCGCATTCCCACACAACAGTAATATCAACCTGTCCTTCATTGGCTTGTGTCCTGGCAGTGACTTCTCCTCCTGTGTGTTGTAGGTCCTCTTTGGCATTTTCTTCCAGAAGAGGCCTGTCTCATAACAATTAAACACTTGTTGGAGAACACACCCTTCGGCCTCTACGTATTCTTGAAATTCTATCAAAAAATTATCAGCAGCTACTTTGTTATTAGAGCTGGCAACCTCCCCATGCCTCACCACACTATGAATTCCACCTATTTTCTTAAATTTATGAAACCACCCACTAGTAGCCTTAAATGAATCATTTTCAGCACTCATTTCAGGGGTATCTTTCAGGAGGTCAGCATGCAGCATCTTTGTTTTTTCACATACCGTTGTCTCTGAAATGTTATCACTGGCTAACTGCTTTTTGTTTATCAAAATCAACAATTTTTTTACCTTTTCAGTTTTCTGTGATCATTGTTTCATGAGCACTTTCACATCCTTAACAACATCTGCACTCTTTTTTATATATGTATATATATTTTTTTATTTCAGAGAGAGGAAAGGAAAAGGAGAGAGAGAGAAACATCAGTGATGAAAGAATCATTGATCGGCTGCCTCCTGCATGCCCCCTGATGGGGATCCAGCCCACAACCCCGGCATATGCCCTGATGGANTCTTTTTTATATATGTATATATATTTTTTTATTTCAGAGAGAGGAAAGGAAAAGGAGAGAGAGAGAAACATCAGTGATGAAAGAATCATTGATCGGCTGCCTCCTGCATGCCCCCTGATGGGGATCCAGCCCACAACCCGGGCATATGCCCTGATGGAATCGAACCCCAATCTCCTGGATCATAGGTTGATGCTCAACCACTGAGCCATGCTGGCCAGGTGCAACATCAGCACTCTTGATTCCCTCTTTATGTTTTGAATTGTGCTAGTCGTTGATTTTGCCACGCCATATTCCGTAGCTAGATCAGACATGCAAACACCTCTGTCATACTTTGCAATTATTTCTTTTTTAAGCTCTATTGTTTTCACAACTTTCCTTCACTTTGCTGCTATCCTAACCTTCTTAGGACCCATGCTGACTTACTGTACGTATTTAATAATAATAAGCAGCAACAAAAGCAAAAAAAAAAAGTAAAATATTCACAGCACAGATTTCCTGAAATGATAGCAATGCGAGGTTCAGTGGTAAACTGATTCATACTCGCGCATTCGCTCCTTTGTCGGTCACTTGAGAGACGTGTGTCTCATCCTACAGGTATCCGCATGAAAGAGTTGTCAGGTTGAGAACCAAAGTTTTGTTTGACAACTGAGACATTTTTTCCGTGAACAACTTGTCAAGAACCGAATTGTCCAAGATGAGAGATGTTTAAGAACCAATGTTTGAGTGTGTACCTTCCCCATCCCTAAAGTTAGAAAACTTCATAGGCTCCCTTTCTTTATTCCTTTCTCACTGTGGATGAGTATCCGTGGAACTTCAACTGAGAGAAGCAATAGGGAGAAAACACACAGGTCCTGCTCCCCAGGGAATGCAGCCTCAGCCCTGCCTGCCTGGCTTTGACTCTAGAACCTGACTGCTGGTCTCCCTCTTCTAGGATTCTGAACACAACCCTCTTTGAGAGTTGGGAGATGATCGGGCCCTATCCTTCCTGGTGGCTCTTCAATGGCCTTCTCCTGATCCTACAGATTCTTCATGTCATCTGGTCCTACCTAATTGCGCGAATTGCGTTCAAAGCCTTGATCCGAGGAAAGGTGAGGATGAAAGACGGCTTCTTTCTTTGGGGCTGGGTAGAAAGATAGGTATTATTCAATAGACCTCTTTCTATCTAGCCTGGTGAGCCCCATCTACACAAAACCCAGCAAAAAGCCTAGGGACCCAGAGTTTTCGCCTTTTCTATGAGTATGAGTGTTTAGCATTTTAGGACATGACTTAGATGTAAGAGGAAGGATCTTCCTTCTTCCTGTTCTTTAGAAATGACTGTTGTTAAATAATGAACAGGATTAAATTTTAGAGATGGCCTCAGCCATTTCCTACGCCTTACCTACCTATTTCAATGGATTTCATATTTTTGTTTTTTAGCTGGGAACCTTTTTCAAAGGAAATCATATGCAGAGCTCCAAGATAAAAACTAAAAGCAGAGATTGCCTAAGGAGTGGTGTTGGTTCATAAGCCACCCCAAGATGACCACACTGTGATGTTAAAGATATGACTTATATAAGAGACTAAGTACTGGCCTCACTCTACTGTTGTATGAGGCAAAGCTCCTAAGTGAGATGGGTATTTAGGGTTTCAAATACCCATCTTATGCCCAGAGCCCGAAAGCACAAAGAAGGGTGTCATTTAATAAAAACCTTCATAAGTGAACCCAAGTTCTGAAGTAGTCAGGCTTTAATCAGCCCAAGGGCTGGGGATTCAGTCTTCAGTAATACAGAATCCCAAGGGGGAGGGGCTCTGCTAAAGGACACACTGACTCTAAAACAAAGGGATAGAATGTTACCTGGGCATATATGACCTCTTATGTCTGTTCCTTATGGCTGCAATTGATTTCAGAACTTGCTCAGTGTGCCTACGCATCTTGCTACAGCTACTAGACATCTCTTATCTCCCCTGCTTTTCTTTCCTGACCAGGTGACTTATCCCGGAAGGATTAGACCCAGACTCTGTTCTCCTCACTCTTTTCTCACCTCCTTCCTTTTTTCTGTGCCTGGTGGGAGCTGGACAGTTTCACCTCTTGCATGTAAGTGTATCTGTGCTTCTGGTATTCAGTGAAGTGTGTCTGTCTGAACGCATTTCTCTTCCTTCCTGCTTTCCTTCTGTTCCTGTGTTATCTGAAAGCATGACCCCTCTCCTGACCTTGTGGGCCACTGTTGACTGGAACTTAATCTGCCAGATTTTCCTAAATGGGGGCAAGAATAGAGTCTACTCTTTTTTTTTTCTTTCTGGTTTTCTTCCCTCCACCCCCACTTTTTTGAGCCTCCTTTCCCTCAAATGTAGACACACTGTGCTTTCTGGTAGAAATTTCCTGAAGATCAGATAATCAATTCGTTATCTGGGTTCAGAGGTCAACAGCTATTATAAATCATAGAATCTTAGAGTTAATCAAAGCAAGGGCCCCACTTCTTGGAAACAAGAATCGTAGTTTTGTTTCCTTCTCACCTTTATTTAGTTTAAAAACAGCACACATTTATTATCCTTCCGTTTTGGAGGTCAGAAGTCTGACATACGTCTCATTGGGTTTCTCTCTTTTACTTTTATGGGCCATTGTAGAGAATTTTAAATACTTTGCTTGATATGCAGGATAATTTAGATTGGAAAACACTGCTCTAATCCAAAGTCTTCATTTAAAAGGATAAAACAAAAAAACTGAAGTTAAGCAATAAAGATTCGCAAGTAGTAGCATGATTGGGACTGGGACTCTTTTCCCCTGACTGCCAATCCACTTTTCACCATGTAGATCTTGGGGATGCCAAAGCTGCACAAGAGAAGTGATCTTGCTACTAGGAAAAGGGAGAAGATTGGAGAAACAGTGTCATAGGATATTGATAGTTGAGCCTAGAAAGAATAGAACTACTGAAAAAGGCCCAATGTGGGTCAGCTTTGGAGTCAGAGCAAAATTCAGGATAACCAATATGAATAACTCAGTGGTCACAACCACCAGAAGATAAATGCAATGATGGACAGCCATATGCACTGTTTATGTTGGCCTTTTCTATTTTTTGAGATGGAAGGGGAAAATGGGTGTCTGGAGTGTCCCTTAAACCTAAACCAGGACACGGTGAATGATTTCAGCTCTCTTAGGCTGGTCCTGAAAGATACACTCAACCAGAGTAGCTACTTATTCCATAGAGAACAAAAACAGAGATGATGAGAGAGAAACCCAAGAAGGAGGCAAAGGATATTCACAACAGTAGCCATGGTCCAGATAATATTTTGAGTCAGGGGCCACCAGAAAGTAGGCCAAATTGGGAACAGTGCCCAAACATGGGCTCTGTGGGCCTTGTCTGTCTTATGTTTCCTGTCCTCACCTTCCTACCTTTGACCCCATCTCACCTAGGTGTCTAAGGATGATCGCAGTGATGTGGAGAGCAGCTCAGAGGAAGAAGATGTGACCACCAACACAAAAAGCCCCTGTGGCAGCAGCTCCAGCAATGGTGCCAATCGGGTGAATGGTCACATGGGAGGCAGCTACTGGGCTGAAGAGTAAAATGGTTGATATGGGGACTTAAGCACACATGGACTTGTAGAGCCACTGGCAACCTACTCCTCTTGGGCCTCCCCATACCTACATTCCTGTGACTAGGGGTCTACAGGGCACTGAGGAGAATCAAAGAAGCAAACATTTTCACTTTTTTTAAAACTCTGCCATTTTATATTTAATAGCCTCCAGGTTCTTTCAGTAATATTATTTGCTCTGTGAGTGTGTTTGTGTGTGCGCGCGCGTGCATGTGTGTACTTGTGTGCACACGTGCATTTATGCATATGCATGAGTTTCATTGTCTGGGTTGGGGCACAGTTCTGAACTGGGGCCACTAGGCTTTGCCTGGTCCCCTTTGAACCCACCTCAATCCCAGATTTAGCTGCATCTTGAATTATGCTGGCTCTGGACTGTCCCCTCCCTGTTGCCCATGGCTCTTGAGGCTCTGGCCATCTGAATGGAACAGCCAAGTTCAGCTACAGGTTTCTGCACTGTTCTTCCTTCAGAGCTGGAATATTTGACATGAAGTTGTGTAGAAACAGACAACCGTGGATTGATGGCCAGGATTGCTGTGACCCTAGCTAGATCTCCTTCCTACCACCTGGCAGTGACAGGGACAGCTGCTGATACCCTGCTCTTTACTCAATGGTACACAGGGAGTGGGGGGTGGGAGAGGGTGAGCTGAGGGCTGGAGGAGGACAACAGCCACTGGGTGAGCTGTTAACGGTTTATACTATTGTTTACTCTTCTGTGATTAAAAGTGCTTCAACCCTCTGCTATCTCAAACTCTTTAGTGACTCTATCCCTAATTCCCTGAATCCATAAGCTAATTAAGAATTTTCAGGCCTGATTCTAGAAGCCATTGGACACCAAATTTTTCCTTTCTGTGCATGCTGGGAAGAGAGTGCCTACATTTTAGGATTTTGTATTTTAAGAAAAAATAAACATGTATAGTGGTTGCAAGAAAAAATACTGAGCAGATTAAAGCATGTATATCACCAAACCAACAGACTTTGGTTGAAGAGCTAAGACACCTTTAGTTAGATACCTGTATTTCCCATTTTATTGAATATAGACAACTGCCAGTTAACATTTTAAGATTACGACAAATGAGTCTGAGCAGATGTTTTCTCTTGTCTCTAGTTGAGGTCTTGTCAAAATTACCAATAGTAGTACAGTATTCATGTCTCAGGATAGTTTTCTATTTAGTGAATATTCATATCATAATATTTCCAGGTGCTCTGTGTACATTAAGACATGGAGTACTTCATTGTCAGGGAGATGGATGTAGATTGGAAGAAGTAAGTTACTGTTCTAAGAATCAAATACTTGATGTTCACTGACAATATAGTGATACTGACCCTACTAAACTTAGTTTACTGAGTGACTGGATTTTAAAAAGACTTACTATGGGGCATGGGAAAATTAAGTCCTAAAAAAATCCTACGAATTTTGTCAGAGCTAGACAGTAAGACTAAAAGACTAAGGTCTTACACTTAGTTCCTCAAATTGCTATATTGTTAATTAGACTAGTAATTGTAAAATATGAATGAAATGCTTTTGAAAGTCAGACAAGATATGTATTTTGTTTCCTGGTGTGGGGTAAGGGGGAGGATATTTTGCCTTCTGAAATTTAAACAATTGCTTTGTTTACAGTCTGGGTTAGTTGGCCCAGTTAATCTGACAAAAGATGCAGCCAAGCGGTATAATAATAATAGCTAACACATAGCTTTTTATCACATGCCAGGCACTGGATAAAGCACTTTACATATGATAAAAATGAAGCAAAAAGAGGTTAACTTGCCTAAGGCCAATCAGCTAGTAAAGAGTCAAACCCAGTGTCTCGATTTTTAACCCCTGTCTCGATTTTTAACTACTATTACTCTCCCACTACCCAAAACTTCAAAATGAGGAAGACTAGATGCTGAAGAAACCTTTAGCCAGAGTCATAGACTGATCAGAGTTGGCCTTGGATGAGTGACTTGAGATTAGGGTCAATTACAGGAACAGAGTGTTGTTCTGAGAAGGAACTATGCATAAAGAGGGTGAGAAGGTGCTAGAGGGTTTGAATACTAGATGATAATAGTGTGATTGGGGCAACAAGACGGTCATAAAGCTAGTTTTATAGACGCCCTGGGAAGTTTTCATGCCTGAGAGGAAGGACACAAATCAGTGGAGAGCTGGTTAGATGCAGACTCACATCATCCCCACCAGAGAACTAGGGATATTCATGAGAGAAGCAAAGTATTACCTCTCTTCTGTTGAATATAAAAGGGTATTAACTTTATTCTTGGGGGGAAAAAAAACCCATTATGTCTGTGTAGTGCTTTACTGACTAGAAAATGATTTTACATACATCAAAACATGAACTTAATGCCCAGCTGGCGTGCCTCAGCAGTTGAGCATTGACCTATGATCCAGGAGACGGAGGTTCGATTCCCGGTCAAGGCACACGCCCAGGTTGTGGGCTCAATCCCCAGTCGGAGGTGTGTGGGAGGCAGCCGATCGATGACTCTCATTGATGTTTCTATCTCTCTTTCTCCTCCCTTCCTTTCTCTGAAATCAATAAAGATTTTTTTTTTTTGAAAGTGAACTTAAGAACACTTCCGTACAGGTAGGATTATCCATACCATTCCATAAACAAGTATTATAGTTGTCTATAACCACCCTAAAATACAGTGGCTTAAAAGAGTAATTTATTATTTTTCATGGTTTGGTTGGTTGAGCTTAGCTGGAGATATCTCATGGTTGCAGTCAGATGGCAGCTGGGAATAGTCATTTGAAAACAACTGGGCTGGGTGTCCAAGGCGATTTACTAGCCTGTTAGAAGTTAGTGCTAGCCGTTCTCTAGTAATTTAGTCGGGGCTGTCAACTAAGGTACCTGTGCATGACCTCTCTATGCCTTGGGCTTTGCACAAGTGGTTGTGTTCCAAGAAGCAGGAAGCAGAAGTTCCTAAGCCATTTAAGAGTGTCGTCCAGAACTGGCACACATCACTTCCACTGTATTATATTAATCAAAATAGTCATGGGGACCACCTAGATTCAAGGGGATTGTGGGATAGACTCTGCCTCTTGATGGAGTGGCATGGTCATTGCAGAAGAGAATGTGGAATGGGAGAGACTGTTGCATTCATCTTTGAAAAATTCAGTCTGCCACAATGAGGAAACTGAGGTTCAGGAGTTATTTAAAAAACACAAACAGGGTAGTGAGCACACAGTGCAATATACAGATGATGTATTATAGAATTATATACTTGAAACAAATGTTATTAACCAATGTCACCCTGACATATTTAATTTTTTTTAATCCTCACCCAAGGATTTTTTTATTGGTTTTATTTTATTTTATTGATTTTAGAGAGAGAGGAAAGGAGAGAGAGTAGGAGAGAAACATCAATGTGCAAGAGAAACATCGATCGGCCGCCTCCCCTACACACCCCAACCAGGGATTGAACCCACAACTTAGGCGTGTGCCCTAACCAGGAATCGAACCTGCAGCCTTTTTGGTGTATGGGATGACACTCAGCCAACTGAGCCACCTGGCCAGGCACAAATTTAATTTTTTCGAAAAACTTAGATTGTTCATCGTGTATCATGAACTCCCAAATTATCACAATCCTAAAAATAATCAAATGGGTTTAGTTAGTGGGTGATAGTATGCTGATTTTAAACCAAATTCTTCAGACTTTAAATCCAGTATCCATGTGGGAGATCTTTTCAGTTCAATAAAACGTTTAAGGGCCTACTTCACGATAGACACTGTGGCAGAAGCTGGGGACACAAAGATGAACAAGATCAGGTTTCTACCCTCAAAGAGCTCATACCCCAGTAAGGAAAAAAGGTAATACAATGTGATAAGAACTAGCCTAAATTATTCTTGGCAGAATTCCTCTCAGTGGGAGACAACTTCAAAGTGGCACCGGCCATTAAAGATGAGTAAAGGTTAGCCTGGGAAACAGGAATGAAAAGGTATGTTTAGAAGAGATGTGAGAGTATATAACAGTTCTGGCTTAATGCCTACTGCAATAACCTGAGACAAAAACCTAGAAATGGTGGATCAAGTTTTTTATATATAAAAAATGTTATTCATTTTTAGAGAAACATCAATAGTTGTTCCACTTATTTATGCATTCATTGGTTGACTACTGTATTTGCCCCAACCTGGCTCATTGGTACAACACTCTAACCAACTGAGCTACCTGTCCAGGGCAAGTGTTTTTTTGTTTTGTTTTGTTTTTTTAATGCATAGCTGAGGTTTCAAGAAAAAGTCACAAAGGCCACAAAGAGAGGAATTGAAAGCTAGGGCAAAAGGCAAACAGCTGATGCAAGTATTGGAGGGATAATGGGCATATAACTTAAGGACTTGGGTTTCAATGTTGACCACAAGAGACAAGACTGGCCCCATGCAGGAAGCTGGAACTGAGACCTCCAGTTAAGGCTAGGACCCTGAAAGAGCAACAGACTTAGTGAAAGGGAGGAAATGCAAAAATTCGTCCAGTTGACAAAATGAGAAAGCAAAGAAATTTGAATGCTTCGGCTTATGGGGTCGGGAGACTCATGAGAATTTTCTCAAATTCTGGGCCCACACTTCATGTGAATTTGGAACCTAAATGTACACTTCCTGTGTGGTCTGGGAAACACCTCAGCCCACACCCCATTCCCAGGTAAGAACTTGCATGAAAATTGGTCTCAGATCAGTCATCCATGGGACTGCTCTGGAGACACATGTACGTGATGGTTTAGACAACATGGGATCCTTACACCATCACCACCACCACCCCAAATAAAAAAGGTCCAAAAGATTATCTCAGACAAACCTGCAACATGTATAACTAACCAAAACTAGTATCCAGAATATAGCTAATTAACGAAACAACAAAGACAACCTAATAGCAAGAGAAAAGGAGGAGGAACTGTGGGTGCGGGAAGCAAAGAATATGAATAGGCAGTTCCTAGAGGACGAGTGTGCTAATGGATGAGTCAATAAAAAGGTGCTCGACCTTACTGGAAATCAGTGCTGTAAATTAAAACGAATAGAAACCACTTCACACCAGAATGCAGAAGTGTTGCTGGTGAGAGTGAAATTGACAACCCCTTTGGAAAAGCAACAATAACTAGTAAAGCTAAATCCTCTTTTGGAGAAACTAGCACATGGGCCCAAGAAAATGTACAAGGATACTCATTGCGTTGTTATGTATAAGAGGGAAAAAAGTGGAAATGACCCATTGGTCTTTCACTAGAGGAATGGAGTAAATTGATTTACTCATAGAATTGTAACTCACAGTTGACCCTTGAACAACACAGGTTTGAACTGTGCAAGTCTACTTATACGCATTTTTTTTCTCCAATAAATATGCAGTTGGCCCTCCATATCCCTAGGTTTTACATCCATGGATTCAACCAACCACAGATCAAAAATAGTATTTTCAATCCTCAGATGCAGAGGACTGATTGCATACACTGTTCTACATCATTTAATGTGAGACTTGAGCATCCACAGATTTGGGTATCTGGGGGGGTATGGGAGGTGTCCCAGAACCAGTCCTTCATGGATGACTAAAGTTTTGGGGAGTCAAAAGTTATATGTGGATTTTCAACTGGGGGAGTTAGCACCCCTAATCTCCTCGTTCAAGGGTCAACTGTACAGAAATTTAAATGAAGCAAGTTTTCCTGTCAATATGGATGTATTAGTCTGAACCAAAGGATGTATATATACATACATGTTTTAAATATATATAATTTTTTGTAAAGACTTATTGTAAGGAACTGGCTCACTTGG